GGCGAAACAATCCACGAATGACTGCAGTTCATGCTTGGCGCAATTGTCTATCAGGATGTGTATGTTCGGCAAAGGGAAGTCGTCTTTCAGACTGGCCCGGTTGAGATCCCGGTAGTCGACACAGACCCTGACCTTCCCGTCCTTCTTTGGCACTGGCACTATGTTGGCTAACCATGTCGGGTGTTCTACTACCCTGAGAACCTTAGCTTTGACTTGCTTAGTGATTTCTTCCTTGATTTTCAAACTCATGTCAGGCTTGAATTTTCTGAGCTTTTGTTTTACCGGCGGATATGTCGAATCGGTTGGCAGTTTGTAAGCTACAATAGACGTACTCAGACCAATCATGTCGTCATATGACCAGGCGAATATGTCCTCATATTCCCTTAGAAATTCTGTGTATTACTCCTTTTCTGATGGCGACAAGTGAACACTGATTCGTGTTTCCTTGACATTTTCTACATCTCCCAGGTTTACGATTTCTGTCTCGTCCAGGTTGGACTTAGGTCTGTTCTCAAAGTTCTCCATTTCTTTGACAATATCCTCTGGTATGTCATATTCTTCTGGATCAATGTATGTTTGTTGCGTTGCCTCATTGCATGTCACAGTCATGGGTTCATCAAGATAAGTAATAGTAATGTTGTATAAGTAAAGTAATGAGAGAAAAATAATAATGAGTGGTGATTCATAAGGAAAAAGTCAAAATGCTTTTGATAAATTTCATAATTGTTTGAACATTGAAGATCTTATTGCGGGAATAAAAATGCGAAGAGAAAATCATCTAGTAAATAAAAACAGTGCATGATGCTTGTTTTAGCCTTGCTACCCCGAGGTTCGCCGGGCTCTGGTTGTTCTGATAGTCCAGTTATTGAGGCGTGCTCCTCTGCTTAAAGCATGTATGGAAGGGCCTTTCTCCCCCTCCTCCTCAAGGATAACAAAGCAATCTATATCATTGTCCTCTAAAAACAAGTTTTTCACTACTGCGAGCGCCTTTTTTTCGTCCGTCCCGCAGATGACATCAGCCTGTTGGAAAGTCTGTTCCAAGTGCGGTATCGGCTGCTCCAATGGGTAGTAAGGACCACGCCATGGCGGCGACCAGTTGTTGAACTCTTCCCAAGTGCATTCGTATCCCAAGCCGAAAGTGGTGCCATGCTTCTTGAGTGTTATGGGTTTAGCTATTCCTTGGAGGTTTTTGCCGAGTCCTTTGCCAGGCTGGTGGTAGGTCTCTCCGACTAGCTTTCTTCTCCCTCCGATCGCTGGAATGGTCTGGCGACTGTATATGGGGTTGCTACTGTCGCCGTGAATGATCACCTCCTGGTGATTCCATTCGAATTTTACCGCCCGGTGCAGTGTTGATGCTACGGCCCCAGCGGCGTGAATCCATGGCCGCCCCAGCAGCAAGTTGTAGGATGTGGGCACATCTATTACTTGAAAATCAACATCGAACCAGGTTGTTCCCATCTGCAGACACAAGCTAATCTCACCGATGGTGGACCTCTGAGACCCATCAAAAGCTTTCACATTGATTGCTCCTTCTTTTATCTCGTGCAGCCCTTTGCCCAACTTCTTGAGTGTTACTAGAGGACAGATGTTAAGGCTGGAACACCCGTTGACCAGGATCCTGGTGATGAAATAGTCCTCGCATTGCACAGTGATGTGTAGGGCTCTATTGTGACCCAACCCTTCAGGTGGCAGCTCATCCTCATAGAAGGTGACTCTATGGCTCTCTAATACCTGTCCCACCATATTATCCATTTCTCCACCAGTGATGTTGCTTGGCACGTAGGCTTCACTCAGCACCTTTAGCAGAGCATTTTTGTGTGCCTTGGAATTCTGCAGTAGTGAGAGGATGGATATATGTGCTGGTGTTTTGTTCAGCTGGTCGATGACCGAGTACTCTTTGGCCTGTATTTTCCTCCAAAGGTCGTCTGGACCTGTCTCAATGATGGGTGGCCGGTTGGAGGCCTGCTTGCTGGGCTCAGCTAGGTACTCAGGGGTATAGACTCTCCCCGTTCTTGTCATCCCCTGTGCTACAACAGTCTCTTCGAACCTGACCTTGCCTTTCCTCCTAGCCTCGGCTGTGTAATCCCAGGGTATAGCTTTTGTGTGGAATGACGGCATGACGGACATCGCCACTGGTATTGGTGCGGCCACCTTTACTTCGAATGGGACATGCTCTTTGGGTGGAAAAACTACAACTTCAAATGGTGCTGATGACGCTGCTTCGAACTCAAGAGGGATAGACACATCTACCTCAGTGACCTTAGATAGTTGGATCTGGACGATGATGGGGTTGAGAGTGACTGCTGGCTTCTTTGGATCATCGCCATCTATGATCAACCCGATAGATCCCTCGGGATCCCAATCATCCTCCACTTCAATCATGTGAATACCCCCGCCCTTATAGTCCGGCAGAGGGTTGTTGCGGACATTTGGGGCGGGTTCCTTTGCCTCAATAACCTTATTATCGATCAGAGACTGGATCTTGTCTTTCAAGGAACGACATTTGTCGATGGTGTGCCCTTTCATGTCGGAGTGGTATGCACAGGATTTGTTTGGGTTAACCCACTGAGAAGGGTTCTCAGGGGTTGTAGCAGGGATGGGGGTGACATAACCGGCGGCGTTGAGTCTCTCATATAATTGGTCAATGGGTTCAGCAATGGTTGTATATTGTTTGGGAGGCCTGCGATCAAAATTTGGTCGGGGTCTAGGGAAGTTCTGACGGGCAGGAGGTGACTGATAGTGGGATGGTTGAGCATTGTAAGTTTGGTTGATATGTGCGGGTTGGGAACATTTGGGCGAAGCAGGCTGATATATGGGCGGCGGAGATGGTTGATAGGCGGGTGGTGAGGGTGCTTGGTAGTTTGGAGTGGGCTGATATGTGAGTGAAGGTGTTGGGTAGGTTTGGTACTTGATAAGAGATTTGGTCCTTTGTGAAACCATCACGGCTCCTACGTCCCTCTTTTTGGACACACCACCGGACTGCAAGGCCTTATTTGTAGCTTGCAAGGCCTCGAAGTTTGTAACCATACCGCTCATAATGCCTTCTTAAATTCGTTCCCCCAGTTTGATAATATCAGAAAATTTGTGGCTCTCGATTATCATTAGTCGTTCATAGTATTGCGGGTCTTGGGCCCGGACAAAGAATTTGTTCATTTGTTCCTCCTCTAAGGCAGGTCTGACCTTAGCAGCTTCGGACCTCCAGCGAGTAGCATATTCGCGAAATGTTTCTGTAGGCTTCTTCTTTAGATTCTGAATATAGAACACATCCGGCGCATTCTCTGTGTTAAACCTGAACCTGTCCATGAAGTCGAACGCCATGCCTACCCAGCTTGACCATTTCTTTGGATCCTGGCTGATGTACCAAGACAGCGCATCTCCTTTTAGGCTCCTCATGAACAGCTTCATGCGGATTCTCACGTCTTTCCCTACCCCAACCAGCTTGTCACAATACGTCCTCAAATGGACCCTTGGATCGCCTGTACCGTCAAACATCTCGAACTTCGGAGGTTTGTACCCCTCGAGCATTTTGACATCGGGTTGTATGCAGAGATCTTCATAATTCAGCCCTTCAATTCCCTTGTTTCCTTCAATGCCCTGAATTCGGCTAGTCGACTTCATAAGTTCTTCAGCCAGGTTCCTGATGGGCAAATCTTTATCATCAAACTCGGGTGTGCCTGAGATGGGGTGGAGAGTGGCATGGTCTCCATGTAGATGGGGGTGTTATGGTGGGTGTGGAAGTGGTCATTTGTGGAGTTTTGGAGTTCTAGGAGAAGTAACGGGGTGTTATTTGAGGTATGGCAGGTGTCACACCTCCTTTTTTACTACACCCCAGGAAGGAGAGTATAATAAAGGGAGTTTTTTCCAACTTAAAGTGACAATCGAAACGGGATTTATTTATTAAGAGATTCAGAGTCGCCACTTGGGATAATTAATGGTGTCCCAAGTCACCGGTTTTAAATCCCGAATCGAAGAAAGATTTACTCTATTTTACAGTCCGCGAACCATAAATCCGAGTAAGGAATTATGTTTACCCGGGAGAAGGTGTTAGGCATTCCCGAGTTCCGTGGTTCTAGCACGGTCGCTCAACTGTTATAATTGGCCTATTATCTAATTTTAATACATTTTAAACCTATGGTTCAATTTTAACTTTTACCGCTTTTATTCATTTTTTAAGGAAGATTGCAACGTCATTTAAAATATGTCTTGAACCACGTCACATAAATGCACCCGTAGTCCGCAATACATTTTATCTAACGTTGAGATTTGGATTTGGGTCACATAAATGCGCACCCGAGTTTGGGAAAGTTAATTTAAAATTATGCACCTAAAGCCACTACGCGCTTTCAAGTTTGCGAGGGCCATGGAAAATTCACTAATGGCACACCTCGATTACTAAAGAATTGAAATTAATTAAGCGAGGACCATGCATTTGAGATTTTATTTAGTACAGCACACCTCAAAACTATTCAACTAAGTGAACTATGGATATTCATATTTAAAGCTAATTCGAAATTTAGTACCACAAACTACGTCACGGGAACCGTACCCATAGCCGTGATAATTTTACTTACATGACAGGTGATAAATCCAAATCCTCGTTACTGTGTTCAGCCAAAAAAACTAAATACCTAAGAAACAGAATTTAATACTACTATACCTTTTCCTTTTCATAAGTTTTCATTTTACACAAATAAAGATAGAGATAGGATAACATTTATAAGCTACAATTTTTTTTTAAAAAAAAAAGTAAGCATCGTCGCTAATGAAACAAAGCTAATGAAATACAGTTGTTTATTTCCCTGTTTCAACAGCATGGAAACAAAGCTAATGAAGCTATTTTTTTTACGTGATCGTCTACTCATGAAGGCGACAGAAAAGAAGAAGCAGCTACTAACATCCAAAATAACAAGAGTACAGACAGAACATTTAGAAATCAAAGCAAGAAATGGACTTTAGATTAACAGATTCGGGTTTCCGTTGAAGCTTTTAAAAGAACGTACATGGATTTCCAGGAAGAGACCAAATAAAGTTGCCGAATTCCGAAACGGAGCCGTGAACTATGAGCGGAACTAGCAAGCGGAACCTCAGACCAGCACTTCAATGTCAGAAAGCACAAAACCAGGACAGATCGTCGACCGGAATCTCAGTCGACCACGGGTTTCAACGGGAACCTTAAACAAACATCAGAATAAACCACTGAAACTAGGTGTAGTCGCGAAATAACACAATATCAAAATCCGGCCAGCGAGATAAACCATCTTTCGACCCTGGTTTTATAAAAGACGAAGATGGAAATGGTCACGGGCAGAGGTAAAACCGGCCAGATCTAAAAAGTGATGAGGCAAAGCAACAGCGGAGAGTTTCTGTCTAGATCGGGATCGGATTCGGCGAGTTCTTCGACGTCTCACCGGCGGTCATGGCTGTCATTCTCTGAAAGTGTGGAGGTCGTTTGGCTTTGTGAAAAGGGGTGGAGAAAAAGCAGCGACGGGCGACGACTTTTGTGCATGTTATAGTCGCCGGATTCCTTCGAGGGGTGTTTTGTGCTTCTCTACTGAAGAAGCAGGCGTTCAAGGGGAAGGGGTCTCCATTCTGTTCTTTGCGGCGCTGATTTTTTGCAGAATGTATCTGCGTTTTTTTTTTTTTTTGTATATCTTTTCTCTCTTTAGGCGTTATTTTTTTTTCTCCCCTCTTATTGTAGAGTCTAGGTCTAGGTTTATATTTTGTGTTTTTTGCTCATTAATCCCTAAGTCTTTTGTGTATTAGGTCTAGAAGGGTCCCTAGGCTTAATGGACTAATCCGAATTGGGCCAAGAATTGGGTTCTAAAACTCTTAAAATTGTAATCCAACACCTTAATTGACTCCTTTTAAAATAAGATAAAAATATTACATAATGCCAAAGCTAATCCTAATTAATTAAACCAAACATGAAACTATTTTTGTGTTTTAGAAATTATATATAGATAAAAACAAGGTACTATTTTTTTGTATTTTTTAAAAAAAATTATGAAAAATACATAAACTAAAATGTTTTTTTGTAATTTTCCATTTTTATGACGAAAATAAAGTAAAGAAGTCAAAAATAGTTGAAATAGCTATATTAGGCCTAAATTAAATATTTACATGCTAAAATATAAAAAATCTTGGGGAGGGTCAAAAATCACATGTCTACAGCAGGTGTTGCATTGGGTCTTTGGTGGAATAGTATGAGGAGCGGGATGATTCTGTTGCTACGGGATGTTTTGAGGTGGTGTAGGGTGATATCTGGGGTGCTGAAAGAAAATGACAAGCTTGCCAGATTCCGAACCCGGTCGAGCTCTTCCTGGAACTTCAGCAATTTTTGTTCAAGCTGGGATACATTTTCCTTAGGAACCTGAGTACCATGACCATTAGTGACCTCTGCCCGTTCAGTTGAGTTCTCCTTTCTGACGTTGTTCAAATCTTCCATCTTGCCTTTGTTCTTGTTTTTGATAGGACTAAGAGGAGGAATGGGTGGAGGGCCCCTGGATCTCGTAGCATAGGATGATGTTGCCAGAGTGTACGAACTAACCTTTGTAGGGGGGAAACAAAAGTAAAAAAAACAAAAGGTAACCAAGTTTGTGAGGATTATAAAAATATTGCAATATTTAAACACGTAGTGCAGGAATGTAAAACGTGTCCTAATTTGGGAACCCCATTGTGCCCGAGGTAGGCCTAGCGATAAGTTGATTTGGAGAACTTAGAATGCTAAATGCCTCATTTTATTGATAAAAAATAGACGAACCCCAAAAACGACACTAAATAAGCAAGAAATAAAAATCACTAATGGCCATTGGCCTTATTACATTCGTAAAGCGAAAAATAAACTCCTATCTACTTGGTCCCAGAAGGACCTTCCTCAGGTTGAATGTTCTCGTTGATCAGATCTTCCAGCTCACATAGGCTTGTTAGTAAGAATGCCTTCGCCAGATGTCCTTCTTCGTTTCCCTCAGCGTTCTGGCAGTCGTTGACTCTTTTCCTCACTTTTCCTTCTAAATTCTAACATGCTATATTCCAGATAATCTAGCTTTTCGCTAGCCTTGACAGCTCCTTTCTTTCCATTCATTGATTTGGTCATTTGATGGAAGACTCTTCCACCAATCTAGCAAGAGTGGGGGCGTGCTAATCATACCGAAACTGGGGACCTCGTGCCTCATTTTCTGCAAAACAGAAGGGTTAGACCCTACCCCTACCAGACTCGACTATTTAACATCAACAATTAGCATGAAGCATTTAGTTCTCCAAATAAATGCACAGAACGTGATGATGTCCATTTGGGTTTAGGGCAACCCAGTGGACTTTTGGACAAGGCTATCTTAAAGGATCATTATGTGGACAACATAACTGACCCAGCTAGGTTTGACCATGATGCATACACAGTTTAAGCAGAGTAAGGTTTCTATGGGGTTTTAGATCGGTACCCTTGAGCGGACAACTCAAGGGGGAAGGCTCGGAACTATCGATTGCACCGCTGATCGACTAGTTTTACCGCAAATATGTCTTTCCAAATTTAGTGGGTAATGATATAGGAAGAGCGCAACCACTCATTATAAGCGTTGCTATAGTATTTGTTTTGGCACGAGCGGAATATGATGTCGAGCATGATTATGCAATAATTAAAAGCATGTTGACATGTATTTGCACATTAAGAAAGCAATAAATACAGCAGTTTCATAATTTAAAGCAATAAAGGAAAGAAAACAAAGAAGATATGTCAGTTTTGCTTATAAAGAAGAAATTAAATACTTAAAGTAAATAAATAGATAATCGCACATAGGGAGAGGTACAAATTCACAAAACAATCTGAAATGGTAAAAGCCTAAAAATCCCCAGCAGAGTCGACATGCTGCTGCGCCCCCCTTTTTTCCCTCTTTGCATCGGGAGATCGGGTTTATGACATTTGGGTATGGGTCAACTCGTTCCCTTTGGGAACTGGGTTTTGCATTTTTTTTTGAAGAGTCGCCACCTAATGATTTATGGTGCATTAGGACACCTACAAGGTTCACTTCTGAGTTTGTTTGATAACCAGAGATAGGGTAAGGGCTTGAAATTATCCTAAGGGGAAGGTGTTAGGCAGCCCTCAGGATCCACTAGTGTGTTTTCCGGCCAGATAGTTCATTGTGAATATGGTGCAATTAACACGTAAACAGATAAGGCTCAAATAAGAGGGGATTTTAATATACAAATGCTTGGAAGTAAAATAGAGCAATCATTAAAAGCTGATTTGTGAAAAGAAGTCATAATGCTTTGAAGGCAAAGAAAGAGAGGGGAGAGGGGGGTCCTAGGTTTATTTATAATATGGATCACATCAATGTAATACCCGGTAATCACTCCTCAAAAGAGGGGCTACACGTGGTATTAGCGCACTGGTCATCATATCCATATCTACCCTTCCCATCCCGTTAAGGTACTAAAGCGCGGATTTGTCTCGACCACTATTGAATACCCGTCCCATTCCTATCAGTCCCGGAGGCACATAGGACTACTAGTCCTAAAGGGGAGGGATATTAGGCTGACTTTGAGGTTTCAAAGGTGAAAAAGCTAAGGCAGCATACAAAACACATAGGACAGCACGTTAAAAGGGAAAGCACGTAAACATTGAAGGCTCATGTATACCTCCTCAAGCAAAGCAACCAAATAGCATGACTCAAACAACAATCAAAGGTCTGAATCTAAAAATACTAATGCAAAAGGGGAGTTTAAGTTGTTGAAGCAGACCAATTTATTACGTAACTCACATAAGAAGTCTGAATCAGGCCTGCCTGCTGGTTATAGCAATTACTAGTTAACAGAAACGGGCTCAGTTTTATTTGTTGTTATTACCTAAGGTTTGCCTAAGTGTTTGGGTGAGATCTTATGAGCATGGTATCTATTATTGATTCAGAATGTGGCAAAGCAGTAACAAAATCTAAAAAAACGAGCGGTTTGAAATCCTATAGGCATGCTTGCTAAACCGTGTCAATGAGAGGAGATTAAGTTACTTAAAAAACTAGTTCATAATAGACTGATTTTAAATTAGACTAGTTTCAGATTCCGCAGACGATGGTATCTACTATTGTTGATTTTAATCCCCTATAGACATGATATCTAGTTGAATAATTTTAACCTTTATAGGCATGACATCTAGTTAAATGTAGAATGGAAACAGGCAGGATTTTTACTTGGGAATTCCTATAGGCATGATTTCTATACATTATACTTATTTTAACATTATGAACATGATACCTGCTTATAGCCGTTTAGATCCTAGAGCATGATGTCTAAGTGGTAACAAGCGTGCAGAATTTAAAATAAAGTCCTATAGGCAGGTTATCTAGATGTGAAGATGAACATGCAGAATTTGAAATGAATCCTATAGACATGGTGTCTAAATGCAGAATTGAACACGCAGGATTTAAAACCAGTCCTATAGGCATGCTTTCTAAATGCAGAATTGAATCATTCAGAACACAAATCCTATGGGCATGTTTTCTACCCTTGAGCATGCATAATTACCCATCCCTTTTACACTAGCCAACCACAAATGTTTATTATAAATTATTACAGACCAGTTTCTAAATTACATTAAGAAAATATGTAAAAAAAAAATAGGAAAATACAACCATAGGAAGCCTGATTCTGACTTCCTCTCTGAGTTATGGAACAAAACGCCTCAAATACCACTTGTTTCAAAGCCTTTCTCAGACCTGGGTGTGTCAGATTTCCCTAAGGGTCTCAAAGGACCCCGGGCAGTGCTTACACCCAGGTTCATAGAACCAGATAGAGATGAGTGCAGTGTGGAAGGGCCAGCCCTTTTGTGTCCAAGTTCAGAGAGAGCTCATGGGTCCCAAGGCAAGGCTCACACAAGAGGGGCAGAACTTAAGTCTAAGAATATGGTGGAAGTGCAGGAATAGAGATTTAAAAACTGAGGGGAGAAAGGAAGGGGTAAGGGATGATGGGAAAACAGTAGTAGTAAAGCACAGAGTTCATAATTTCGTACAAAGGGGTCAGGGGTTTGGGAATATATTGCAAAGAGCATATACCCATAGGCAGGGATCAGATTTGGGCACGCACAGCAATAGAAGGTGTTGGCATGCCTATAAACCAATCAGAACACACAACATATAGAGGGGACATGGAGGTTATGATTCCAGGGGGATCAGGTTTGGGTCATGCACAGCAATGTCCAATGCTGTCATGCCCCAAACCAACCACAGATACCAAACACATTGGGGGTTTAGGATTCATAAGCCATAATAAGTGACTGACAGAATTTATAAGAAAACATTAATTCAGAATAGAAAGGGCAGATTACAGCATGCTTAACGATGGAACTTGATTAAATACAAATAGGAAACAAGCAAGGGTACAGGAAATAGTAAAGAAACATGTTGTTGTTGATGCTGAGAATTAGTTAGAACATACCAGTAAAGATGCAAATGCAGAGAAAAAGTAAGCAAGCTTCCCACAGCCTAGCCTTGGCTTTCAGTCGGCTAGGTAAGGCAGCAATACAAGTAGCAACAGAGAAAAGAGAGATTTTAGTGGAGTGCGTGTCTGAACTCAAGTATTTTATTCCTTGTCTTTTTTTTCGTGTCTGTTTGAAAGAAAAGGAGGTGGGTTTTTATAGTTTGAAAATATGTGAGAAATAAGGCAATAAGTAAAGTTC